TCCCACGAATTGTTTCCATAAACCCTTGCCATCTTGGTTATTTGTTATGAGGTATTATTTTATCCAATATATAATGCATATTAGCAACTCTATTGAATAAATTAATGAAATTTGTTCATCACCCGGAGAAGTCAAGGTTATTTTTGTGTACAGCTTTGAACATTCATACTTTTGTCACCATAGTGAAACTAGCAGCAACTTATAAGCTGACTTCCTTTCGAAGTTGGCGGATTCGATGCCGAAGTGACTTGAAAAAGTGTTGAAGAACAAAGATATTTCAATTGAATATTAGTGTACTCAAACTTTAAATCTTAATTATTATTATCAATGTTAAATTTTTGCAAATAAAAATTGTTTTATTTTATTTAGTTTGCTCGTGACTCATCACAGTCTAGGTCAAGCACCACTGACAAAATGGGAGTATTCACCACTTTCTGAACCATTCCATCTACTTAGTATAAGCTAATCACGAAGATCAGTGCTATCTAGACTCCTGAAGACTTTTTTATTATTATTTGAGAAATATATTTACTTCAGTATAAAGTTTGTTGCCAGTACGAACCTTCAAGTGTTTTACAGGCACTCATTGCTTCAGTTTCCATTCTACCTGTACAGTTATTGGTATTCTATTTTGTCTGTACACCGTATTGCTGCTCTATTTTTGAATATTTGTATTAGGCGCTTGGTTATGGAATCCACCAACTTCGCAATCAAATCGCATTTGTCAGCTTGTTCTCACCGGTGAGCATTCAGACCCCCAAAGACCACTCTAGAGATAGATAACTTAACTCTGTTTTCGTTTGGTTGACGAAAGATATTCCGCTCTCACAAAAAGGGTTTCCAACCATTTCTACCAATCATCAACCCGTACCGATCTCAACAATGGGAGATACCTTGCCGTAAAGCAATTTATCATGGTCACTGTATGTTCAAAACACATTCTTCTGAGTTAGAAGGCTCTCCTATTTCTGACCCCGAATAATAATACTTTCTGTTTCCCACAGGATGTGAATGCATACGTGCCACCCCCCACTTCCGTCCATTGATGGCACTTCTCCCCAGTGGTTTTCCACGGTATGTTGAGAAAAGACTTTTATTTCCTGGTGAGATCTCGAAAACCTATCTCCAAATGTGATGCCATGGTGAAGGATAAGCAAGAAGACTTTATCGTGGACAAACATCCAAAAACATGTGACAATTTCACCGCCAAACCACTCTCAGAAACACATCACGAATTTTCAAAGACTGTATTTCTATCGTTCACACGCCCAAGGTTCAAACCTCCTTTTTCGCGCTTCATTGATAAGACGACGTCTACTGCTTTCAATTTCATTGTGTGTGATCTTGTAAATTTGCATCCACAAATATGCTGTGTAAAATGATGAAAATTCCTTAATCCCCGGGGCATAAAGCTACGACTACGGACCTAAACATTGCTCAGAGAAAAACAGGTTTCGATTACACTCACGTCCGGGCTGTTAGGAGATAGTTGCATAAATTCAACTATGAATAAAGTTATTCAAGAAACTGTATGAATACAATTAATCAGTACATGTCGAACAACCAGCTTCATCTGGAAAAGATAGGACATTATTCAAATGCTCTTAGAGATTGGCTGCCACCAAAAACCTTTTAATCAGTTGCACAACTATTGCTCCATGCAAATTGTCACAAACGACAGACGAAAAAACAAGGAATTCGGCAAAAAACGTTCCCTTCCAAATAGTCACCATTGTGTGCTGCAATCTTGTTATTACTTTCAATGGTATCCGGAAACTCAAGGTTGTGCCAATTAAAATGTTGCTACAATGGAACTAGGAATAATGCTATGGGAGATAAGTTTCGGAATGAAATTTTCTCCTGCACCACTGTCGATATGCGAATAACATTTTGGTACCGAAAAATTGTTTTCAATCTGAAGATGATGTCACATGGCCTTGGTGCATGCCTGTTGTGATGTTCTTGTGGCCACTTGTTGTCAGGTCAGCATGGTAACTAGTTAAATCACGTCTCCTGCATGACCCTGGCAATGCTGATAGTTAGTTACACAGTCAATCAATGGTTTACCGATCAAGTCGTCTCGTCCGAGAGGCATTTGTGCTAAGCCATTTTCAGAGACAACATCAGATCACTGTTTCTAAACTGCTGAACACGATTTTTATTTTGAAACGGGGTTGCCAACTGAAAATACCAAGCATGCACTCGTCAGGATTGTCCAAAAACGTGCACCAGATCATCATCATCATCATTTTCGGCAAGATGAAAGTGAAGTTGACATTTTGCTTGGACCAATGTTTGCATCCTATTTATTTTTTTATCGACGACATTTCCAAACACACACGTACCGTAATTCGAAGCTTATTTCATTCCTGATCTATTTTAACCATTCAAATCGTGCTGATTTGAAGATGCCGGTTTTTGCTAGTTCAGTTTCTTTTTTGTTCTACTCACAGTTCGACAGTCTTGTCTTCCTGACAAATGCTTCCCGAAAGGGGATCGTAATCGCCCAGTTTCTTGTTGTCTTTAGGGTTTCCTCATTCCCGTTAATATAGTCTCCTTCCTCACCGCCAAAGAGAGAGGGGACTCTCCAGACGGATTCATATCGTTAGAGATTTAATGAAACTAAAGGGCGCCTTTTCTGGCTGGCAATGTGGGTGCAAAACATTCACTGACATTTTGTCGTTTGTCACCAGACACGTTTATGCAAACCAAATGGCAGTAACGTCTGAGATCTTTAGTGCACTTTGTGTTTCGAACGAAACGTTTGTCGTTTATCTGTGTGTTTTGACGGTGAAAATTTTCTCACAAACGATTATAGGTCCAAAAATCGGACTTTCTACCGTTAATTGATGCTTGATAATCTTGTCTGCACAGCTCTGAGTGGAGGGTACCCAAGTATACTTAACTGGAGAAATTCTTTGAACTCAAAACGGTAACAAATCGGGCTTACTGTGACCAATTGCAACTGATATCTCACCTTCATTTACACTGCGCATTTACGGTAGTCAAGATAGGCCATGTTCCTGACTTGCCTTTGACCTTCTCGTGGTTATTCTTCTACCCAGATCCACTTTCTGAGAGCATACGAGAAGAGATGGATAAAACAGAATTTTCGTGTTGGACT